ACGTGCGGCTGAGCAGTGATGGATGGGAGCTGCTCTGGGATGCGGAGGTGACATCCGGAGCCCTTGCTCCAGTCTCATGGGACAGGAAAAGGAGGAAAAAGGCTTAAAAGAAGATGTCCTGGTCACAAGCAGCGGTTTTGCCTCCCTTCTCTTCCCCCCCCATACACACAACACCTTGGGAATCCAATTGCCCCATCCCTGGCAGGGTTCAAGGCCAGGATGGATGGGGCTTGGACCACCGGGCTCCAATGGAAGATGTCCCTGCTTTGAGGTCCTTTCCAACACAAAGCAGGCCGGGCTGCTGTGGTTCTGTGCCTCTGTGATGGAACGGGGATGCTCCCCCAGCATTAAAGCAGGGCTGTGTCACAGACACCCCCGGTGCTTCCATGGGATGAGGGATGCAGGCTTGGGAAGCGCCCGACTTCGCTTTGCATCAATGGCATGGATGAGCCTCGGAAGCTCATTACGACCAGGGATGAACCTAGAAAGAGCAAAGGAAGCCTCTTTGCCCTCAATGGTGAATGTGGGTTAGTGCTCAGGCCAATGACACCCAGGGGCAGCTTTAGGGCTTCCCATTGCCCAAACACCCCTCCGCTGGCCCTGGCATCGGGCATGGTTTGCAGTTCCTCCCTTCCCCTTGATCCTTCTCCAAGCTCTTGCCTAGGAAAGGGGTGAGGAGCACGTGATGCTGCTACATGATCCCAACCTCTCCTCTTGGCAGAGCTTCCGGCCTCCCTGGTTTTAATTAATCCCTCTTTTCCCCCCTCCTTCCCCTCTTTTCCCTCCCTCTTCCAGGGCTCTGGGTTTCCAGCCCATTGGAAAGAGCAGCAGTCGATGCCAGAAGCGTGGTCAAGGCTGGGTGCGGAGGGGATGGAGCTGTGCCCATCACCAGGTACCCCGGGCTCCCAACCCAACCCCAGTGCCTGGCACTGGGACAGAACCATTCCCATCCCCATCCAGGGAGCTGCAAACATTCCAGTCCCATGAGAGGAGCCCCAGTGCTCGCTTCCAGCCCATGGAGGAAATGCCAGCCACCTGCAGCGCTAACTTTAACCTGGATCACCAGGGAAATGCAGCTTCCCCATAGGGCAACGATGCCAAACAGGGGGGGGATCACCCCGAAGCTGTTGTAGCACCAGGAGGAGGATCAAAGCCTTGGCTACACCCCCAGAATAGAGCGTGAAGGGAGGCGCGTTGCTATCGGGGACCCATCAGGATTAGTCATTGCCCCCGGTGCCAACTCTCGCCATGATCCTCAGAGCATTCCTGCTTGCCTCAAGCTCCCAGCTCGGTGATTCATGGGGATATGGGGATGCTCGGGTTGGAGGTGAGGTGATGGAGCCCCATGGAGATCCCTGGGAGGAGGCGAACGCGCATGGACCCCAACACAAACCTTGGGTTTGATGGGTTTGGGGCCTGCTTGAGAGCTTGGAGCTCTTTTTCCTTTCACTTTATGGAAAGCTCCAGGACACAACCAACAATGGGGATTGGGAACAGAAACCTCTCCCCACAATGATCCCTCCACAGCATCTCTATCGGCCGCAAAGCTTGAGCCCAAACTGGGACAGATGGGAACGCTGGTCTATCATCCACAGGACAAAACAGGGCTTCCCAACACCACCACTGCATGCATGCATGCGTGTCCATGCACACGGATGCACGCAGGAACACACCAGCACATAGATGTGCATTCAATGAGCTTTAAGGTCCCATCCAACCCAACCCATTCCACGATTCCATGACACACGCATGGAACACACACGCTTCCATCCCTTGACATGGAGTTAAGGTGTGCGAGAGGCAGCACATGTATGAACACCCACATGTATTAAACACACATGTATGAACACCCACATGTATTAAACACACATGTATGAACACCCACATGTATTAAACACACATGTATGAACACCCACATGTATTAAACACACATGTATGAACACCCACATGTATTAAACACACACGGATCTGCCCGTGCACCTCCACGTGTGGCTGTGCACACAGAGCCCTGCTCCATCACAACCCAGACATCACTTTGGATGGAGGAAAACATCCCCAAACCATCCCATTGAAGCCATTGAACCCCCCTCCCCATCAGCATCTCCCCACCAGGGACCTGCCACCACCACCATTGCCCCAGCATCGCCCCGACTCGGCTGCCAAAGCTGGAGGCAAGCAGGATTCCCATTCCCAAAGCGCCTGGGGAAAGTTGCAAGGGGAAAGCTCCAGCAACACCTTACCGGCTGAGTCAGTGGATGAGACATTTCCTTGTGCTGGGTGCCCCATCTGCTTAGTTCATCTGCAAGCTGAGCTGCTGCTGCTTGTAGACCCAGAAAGGGGAGGGAGAAAGCGAGAGGAACCTTTTCACTGCAGGGATATGGGAGGCAGAGAGAGGGAATGGAGTGGAAAAGGGGGGGGGTCTGACAAGGCATCAGCGGCACCCCCTTCCCCAAGCATCCCCGCAGCCGTGGCCCCTGCCCGAGCCGCTGCGATGGAGCTCGGTGGGAGCCTCGCGTCTCTCTGCATTGTCTCTCCCCAGTGTAAGCTCCTGCAATCGCGTTTCATGGGAGAGACATCTGGTTTGATTCAAAGGGAAGAAAGGGGAAGAGGGGAGAAAAGGCTCCGCTCACACCCGCAGAGCCCAGCCCGGCTGGAGGGGGGGAGCGGGGAAGCTCTTTTCAATGCTTCCCTCCGCGTTAGAAAGCTCATTTCAATGAGAAAAGGCAGGCGGAGGGGAGCGGGGCTGTCCCAGTTTGCAGAGGGGGCTTTACTGGGGCAGGGAGCCAAGGGCAGGGTGAGCTGCTCCCACTGCGAGGCCTTGGGGTGCTGGGGGCCCCCCCTTCTCCGCTCTTCCCGTGATTCCCGGTGTTGCTGGACACCCGCTTGGGGTCTTCCCATTGCAAGGCCCCCGTGAATGGGGAGGACTCAAAGGCTGTGCCCCCCATGAAGCCCCCATACGTGTCCTTCAGGACCTGCCCAGCACCCTTCTCCCCACCAGTTCACCCCACGGCCACCATGGGGCATCCCTGCCCTTCTCCCAAGGGTCCCCAGTATCCCAGTGGATCTCTATGCTCCCAATGTGTGACTTCTCCACAGCTTGCACACGGGTGGGCAGTGGCAGGCCCCCACATGGAGCCTCCTTATGGGGTACACACTGACTTGTCCCCATGCGGCCCCTCTCCAGTTAAGCAGATCCCCACTCAGACCCCTTCCATCCTCTGTACCCGGGTGGATGCTCTTGGCTCCCAACACCCCACTGGCAGCCCCTCCATATCCGGGGTACACATGGGGGGTATCCCCAATGCTCCCTTGGTCCTCCACGCATGTGGCAGCAGGTGCCCTGTATCCCCTTCACCCCAAGGCACGGCTGGTCCCTGCGCACCCCTTTACCCATCGCACAATGGGACCCCTCCACCCGTGTTCACACCAGGACCTTTCATCCGTGTTCACACCGGATCCCTCCACCCGTGTTCACACCGGGTCCCTCTGTCCGTGTTCACACCGAGTCCCTCCACTCGTGTTCACACCGGGTCCCTCTGTCCGTGCTCACACCGGCTCCTTTCACCCGTGTTCACACCGGATCCCTCTGTCCATGTTCACACCGGATCCCTCCACCCGTGTTCACACCGGGTCCCTCCACTCGTGTTCACACCGGGTCCCTCTGTCCGTGTTCACACCGGATCCCTCCACCCGTGTTCACACCGGATCCCTCTGTCCGTGTTCACACCGGATCCCTCCACCCGTGTTCACACCGGATCCCTCTGTCTGTGCTCACACCGGGTCCCTCCACTCGTGTTCACACCGGGTCCCTCTGTCCGTGTTCACACCGGATCCCTCCACCCGTGTTCACACCGGATCCCTCTGTCCGTGTTCACACCGGATCCCTCCACCCGTGTTCACACCGGATCCCTCTGTCCGTGTTCACACCGGGTCCCTCCACCCGTGTTCACACCGGCTCCCTCCACTCGTGTCATATCGGGTCTTTTCACCCATGTTCACACCGGGTCCTTCCACCCGTGCTCACACCGGATCCCTCCACCCGTGTTCACACCGGGTCCCTTCACCCGTGTTCACACCGGGTCCCTCTGTCCGTGTTCACACCGGGTCCCTCCACCCGTGCTCACACCGGATCCCTCTGTCCGTGTTCACACCGAGTCCCTCCACCCGTGCTCACGCCGGGTCCCTCCACCCGTGTTCACACCGAGTCCCTTCACCCGTGTTCACACCGGGTCCCTCTCTCCGTGTTCACACCGAGTCCCTCCACCCGTGTTCACACCGAGTCCCTTCACCCGTGTTCACACCGGGTCCCTCTGTCCGTGTTCACACCGGGTCCCTCCACCCGTGTTCACACCGAGTCCCTTCACCCGTGTTCACACCGGGTCCCTCTCTCCGTGTTCACACCGGGTCCCTTCACCCGTGTTCACACCGGATCCCTCTGTCCGTGCTTACACCGGGTCCCTCCACCCGTGCTCACACCGGGTCCCTCTGTCCGTGTTCACACCGGATCCCTCTGTCCGTGCTCACACCGGATCCCTCCACCCGTGCTCACACCGGGTCCCTCCACCCGTGCTCACGCCGGGTCCCCGCTCGGTGCCCGGTGCCGTGCGCTCCGGGGGTGCCGCTGCCTCGGGACTACATCCCCCATCAGGCCGCGGGCCGGGGCCGGCTCCGCTGCGCCCAGCGCCTTCAAACAAAAGAGTTTTCCCCCCTTCGGGGCTCCGCGCCCCTCGGCGCTCCGAGCCCTCCGGCGGCCGGGACCCGGGGGCGGAGGCGGCGGCGGCGGCGGCGGCGGCGGCGGCGGCAGCGGGGGGGACCCCGGCGGGCTGGAAGTGCCTGTGCTCGGAGCTCGGGTTACAGAGAGAAAGGGGCTTGGCCAGGCGGGGGGAGGTGGGCGGAGGGTCCTTTTCTCTCTCTGCTTCTCTCCCTCTGCCTTTTTTTTCCCCCCTTCTCCCTCCCGAGCTCTTTGTGTGTCCCCCCCCCCCTCCCCACACTCCCCTCCTCTCGCTCTCACCCCCCCCACCCCCCCTTTCCCAACCAACCACCACCACCCAACCCCCTCTCAAGTCTTTGTTAGCCATGCCTAGCCTGGTAGTACCAGGGATAATGGAAAGGAACGGGGGTTTCGGCGATTTAGGCTGTTTCGGTGGGAGCGGCAAAGACAGAGCGCTGCTGGAGGATGACCGGGCGCTGCAGCTCGCCCTGGACCAGCTCTGCCTGCTGGGGCTAGGCGAGCCTTCCTCCTCCTCCTCCTCCTCCGCCGTGGTGCTGGTGGAGGACAGCAACAACAACAACAATAACCCACCGCCGCCGCCGCCGCCGCAGCAGCCCCCGCCGCCGCCGCCGCCGCCTCCTCCGCCGCAGCAGCAGCAGCAGCAGCCGCCGCCTCCACCGCCGCCACCGCCGCCCTCGGCCCCGAAGGGCTCGGCGGCTCCGAGCGCCGGGGCGGCGGAACCCAAGTTGTGCGCTTTGTACAAGGAGGCCGAGCTGCGGCTCAAGAGCAGCTCCAACACCACCGAGTGCGTCCCGGTGCCCAGCTCCGAGCACGTGGCCGAGATCGTGGGCCGGCAAGGTGAGAGCACCGGGGGAACCGGAGCCCCGCTTTCCCTTCCCGATGCAACCCCCCCATAGACACACACACACACACACACCCCCTTCCGCCGCCGCTCCGCCCGCCCTGCCATTGTTCGGGCCGGCTCAGCCCTACCGGGGACAAAGCGGGAGGATGGGGAGCGCGGAGGGACGGGGGATGCTTGCGAGGGCTCCGTCCGGTTGCACCGGAGCCCGGGTGCTGCCAAAGAAGCCGTTCCCGGACCGCGCTCTCCGCCTCCCTCCTTAAACCCACGGAATCAAAGCAGGGGATAAGGAGGGGACCGGGGACACACCCGGGACACGGAGCCCGGTTGGGGGTTTGAGCGTGAACCCGCCCCGATTCCCGGTGGCGCTCGGCGCTGTTGGGGAGGAAAATCCCCTTTGTTGGGCTCGACGGGGCGGGGGTGTGGCGGGGGCCCGGGCCCGCGCCGTTCCAAGCGGCACCGGTAACGGGACGTGGAAGTTGGGAGGGCTCCGACGGGAGTCAGGGACCGGGACGGGCAAAGCCCCCCCCGGGGGGCAGGCACCCGGTGAGCCCCAAGGCCGGCCCCGCCGCTGGGCACGCTCCGCGACAGGGATGCTTTTGTTCTCCTCCCGGCTCTGTTGGGAGCGAGGTGGAATGGAGGAGGGCTTAAAGAAATAATTATATATATATATATATATATACACACCACACCCACTCTTAAGTCACCCCTCGCCCACCCCCCCGGCTCCGGGCTCCCGAGTGTGCGGGGGGGAAAAAGGAAAAGGGGGGGGCAGCAGCTCCATTGCGGGAAGCGGGGCAGGATTAGACCATGGGGCTGGTGGGAGAAGTTTTGTGTCGCTTCTAGAAGGGAAAACAATGCCCGTGTGGTGAAGTGGGGGGGTTTTCCTCCTTCTTCTTTCTCTGCACAAGTAACTTGATGCTCTGGAAGTGTGAGGGGCAGAGACTGCGGCTCCAAAGGGTTGGGAATGGGAATGAGTAGGGGGTTTGATGTCTGACATAGTGGGGCCAGTGCTCCCAGTTTGGGCCGTGCAGTGGGGCACTAGTAGCTAATGGCTGGGGGGGGTTAATGGCCCAGCATCCCTACATGTTATGGGAACAATGGTGGCCCTGCTCATTCCCACCGGTGAAGCTGGTGCCTGGTCCCCTCCGCTGCGATGGGGAGCGGGCAGGGATGTCCCCCCCAGCTTGAACACACTGGGATCGTGTCCATGGGGAGCTGGAGATGGGGTGAAGGCTGAGAAGATCCCTCCTGGACCTGTTCCTCCCCTTGCTGCTGCCCCTGAGCACGGGCAGAAGCGCTGGGGCTTTGCACCAACTCCATGAGGCCGTGGAGAATCAGGCCCCCTTTGTTTCATAAAGTTAGGAAAGAGAGAGGATTCGGGAGGCAGAATGCAGGGAAAACCGGCGGGGGGGGGGGGGGAACCGGGGCTGCTTTCCTCCTGCATCTCCCTCCTGCCCCAAACTCCCGCAGAGGGGGTGTGTTTGGATGTGCTCCGGCCGCAGCGACGCGCCCGGTGTGGCCGCACGGATGGAGAGGAACGTGGAGACCTTGGGGTGTTCTCCACCATTTTTAGTGTGCGTGTGTGAGGGTTTTCCCCCATCTGGGAATTGCGGGATGTCCGTGGGGCAGAATGGGCTCCGTCTGTTAATGGGAAGGGCGGTGGGAGCCGTGGCCCTGCGCTGGGGCGGATGGGATGGATCTGTGCTGGTAGGGACCAGGATTGCTCAGGGCGCTTCGCTCCAGCAGGGATTGTGATCCACACTAAAGGCCTATAGGAATGTCCCCTGGGTCTCGTTCTTGTGTGGAAAGCTGGATGCTGAGGGTCTGCTTTCGGATGGAGCTGGGTTCAGGGACCCTGAGGGGATGGATCCTGTGCTCGCATGGATGCCTGACCAGGAATTTTAGGGGGGACCCCAAAGCGTGCACAGTGCCACCTCCTTGGTTGGACAGCTCATGGTTTTCTAAGGAATTCCGGCTGTTTGTGCACAGGGGCATGGATAATTTGGGGAGGAGAAGGGAAAAAGAAGTAAGAGCGGAATAAAAATCATTTCAGGGCTTTTAATAGGTAACGGGCTTGAGTTCCTTTAACTTCATGTTCTGTGGTGTGAGGAACCACACCGTTCCTTCATGTTATCTTCAGCTGCCGTCTCCCATCTTTGGAAGTGCACCTTCTGGCCTGTATGGGTTTAAGAGGCCTGGATCTGGGCACGGGGGCCCTTTTCCATGCCCCTGGCAATGGGGTTTCCACCTCCCTCCACTTTGCCAGGAGAGGGTAAAGGCACCGGGGTCTAAATAAGGCCCAAAGCCCCATGGATTCGGATGGGAGCGCTTGGTTCCATTGTGGCGTAGGGGGGGGGTGGCTCCACTTCCACCTGGAGATGCTGCAGGAGCTGAACCCGGTGCTTGGCAGCTCCCTGCTTTCCCTGGGAACGGGGAACGTGCCCTGGCGGAGCCAATCGCTGGAGTTTGTGCGCTCCATTCCAGCAGCGCCGCCGCTTTCCATGCGGGATGGGATTGGGATGAGAGCCGGGATGATGGGAAAAGGGGGGACTTTGGGCTGCTGTGTGAGGGCTGGGTGCTGGGGGGATGCAGCTTGAAGGGGAGGAAGCTGGGAAGGGAAGGATGAAGGGATAAAGGCATAACAACGCCTTGGACCGATGTTTATGACCTCTTCCATCCTATCCCTGGCCACGGTTGGCAATGACTTCCCTTCCCCAGCCATGACCTCCATGCGTGCCCTTGTCAACGCTATGGTGAGGAGCAGGGATGCCTCCACCCGCATCCTGGCTCCTGCTGAGCATTCCCTGCACCTCCATCCCCGCTGACCTTGGGAGCCCGAACCCCCTGGCACGTGCCATGGTGTGCGCGGTGCTCCCGGCCCTGCCTTTTGGGGGGCTCGGTGGCTCTTGTATTTCAGCCACCAGCTCATCCCAAGGGAACAACGCCCTTCGTGGGGCTGTTCCCGTTGTCAGGAGCCGAGCCCTGGGGTGTTTGCGGCTCATTCTGGAGGCGGGGACGGGGACTTGCACAGCAGGAGCAAAGGCAAGGGTGGGAATGGAGATGGGAAGGGCAGGAGCAGTGTAAAGGTGTCGCGCTTCCGAGTGTGAGCTTGGGAAAGGGCATCCAGCCACAGGGATGCCCGTGTTCACCCCTGCAAGTCTCCATGGGCAGGCACAGCCCCATGAGCACACGCGTGGGACTTCTGTGCCCGTGTTCATCTGCTCCCAGTGACCCAGTGGGCTGGAAGCGGGGCACGCTTAGGGCCGGGTATTGCAGTTAGGGTGATGGGCTCCTGTTCTTTGTGTGTGCTGTGGGGCCAGCTTGGCTCCCTTGCTGGTGCGAGCTGTTCCCAGCGGGTACCTTCCCTGTGAGAGCATCTTTACTCTCATCCCTGATAGTAGCATCCTTTGTCACCTGTGCCCAGAGACAGCCTTTGATGAAGCCTCTCCCATCCTGCTCTAAGCAGCCCGTTGTCACCAATGATGCGAGAGGGGAGCTTAGCATCAATTGCTCTGCCTTGGCGAGGTGAAGTCAGACACCAAGAGCCCCCCCTGAACCCCAGGTGATCGCGCTCTTTGTGTAGCTCCAAACACGCTCGAACGCTCCCAGCATTTAAAAATAGTCCAAGGAAGCCTTTTCCATTGAGGAAGTCTGATGATGATTGCAGCTCCCCCACCCACCATGTGGAGGAGGAGGTGGATGTGCAGCATCCGAGAAGCAGCGCGGGGGTCAGATCCCGTCGCCTGCTTGCTCTTGAGGAAAGCTCGGAGCTGAAGGTCCCCTGGGGCCTGAGGACCAACCCTCCTCACGCAGCTTGAGCCGGGGGGGGGGGCTTAAAGGGAGAGAGGGATTGCGGTCGGGTGGCAGCTTGGAATGAGAATGCATGGATTTCCAGCGGGGAAAAGTGCGGACCGGGATTGAGTTGGTGTGGTTTGAACTGGAGGTGGGAGGAGAGAACGGGTCTGGGAGAGAGACAAAGGGAATTTTCCAGGGAGAGACACACACAGAGAGAGAGGCTCCGAGCATCGGATCCGGCTGCTGGATGCCGCGGTGACCGAGTGAACCGCGCTGCAGCGCCGGGAATCTGGGGCAGTGGGAGAACGAGGAGGGGGGGCACGGTCCTCCTTGTCTTTGTCTGGAAACCCCTTGCTCCTGCAGCGTGCCCGTTGCCACCCCCTTTTCCCTGCGCCTTGTCCCGCTTTCCCTATGGATCGGGATGGGGATGGTGCCGGGGCCGCGGGCACACCCACCCCGATGCGATGCCGTTGTTCCAGCCCCGAGCGCCCAACTTTCCTCCGCCACAAACAAGGCAGCGATTGTCCGTGGCATCCGTGCTTTGCCTTTCTTGTTCCCCCCCTTCCATCCCTTTATTTCCCACCCCCTCCTCCATAAACAACTTTCATCCCTCTGGGAAAAGGCAGGGAAAATCCCGGCGGTGGCCGCTGGTTTTCACGGTGCCTTGGGGGTGGCTTTTTCCCCCCCTCCTTCTAAACACAACTTGCATCGGCGTGGCAAGAAAACCCCAATGCAAAGGGGTTCCCTTGGGGTCGGCCGTGGTCCTTTTGTGTGCGTGCAGGGGGGTTGGCACTGCTTTCCCTGCAGCAGAAACCTTACCCCCCCCAACCCCAGATAGGCAGGAGGGTTTAGTTGTGATGTTCTTTGTGTGCTTGTCTTTTAGCACAGCTTTCATCTGAAGTGGGAAATGAGGGCCCCACCTTAGCAGGGTATCTGAGGGGTGATGGGTTTATGGCCCTCTTGAATTTAATGACTATAACACCCCCAAAAAACAAACCCAACCCCAAGTTCTCAGTGCCCTTAAGCTCGTTTCTACCACAGCATCAGTGGCAAAATGCCCTCAAGCGGGGTATTTGCAGGTGTAATTTAGAGCAGCCCTGTGGGGAAAGTGCCTCGGTGTAAATGGGAAGAGGGCTAAAACCCATTTGTCTTGGGAGAGGTCGTTTCCAGCCTGCTGGAAAGGAGGATATGCAGTGATTTGGGGTGCTGTGATTGCGCGAACCCCAATGAAATACAGGAACCCACCTCGGGGCTGTGTGCTGGGAGCTGCTCCAGCACCTCTGATGGTTGTGGGTGAAGCTTCCTGAGCTGTGCCAGCCTGCACCAGTGTGTGCCTGTGCAGGATCTGGCCTTCTAGCAGCAGGAAAGGGGAGGGTTGTCAGGAGGTTGAACTGTGGGTTTACACTGGGGTGCAATACCCGATGGAACAATGGGTTTACACTGAAAGAGGGGGGATCCCAGGCTCTTCCCTGTGAGGATGCTGAGGCACTTGGTACCCGGAGAAGCTGTGGCTGCCCCATCCCTGGCAGTGCTCAAGGCCAGGTTGGACACAGGGGCTGGGAGCATCCTGCTCCAGTGGAAGGGGTCCCTGCCTGTGGGTTTAGATGAGCTTTAGGGTCCTTCCCAACCCAAACCAGTCTGGGATCCTGTGAGCTCCATAGCTGTGGCTGCATGGCGTGGCGCAGCATCCATCCCCTGCATCCCGAGTGCTGCTCCGCCCTTTTCCTATGGGAGCCACCCTGTGTGAGAGAAGACTTGGGATAGGCTCATGCAGAGTCAGATCGTGTGCATCCTACCCCGTGGTTGCTCTCAGGAGCTGGACATAGGGACCAAGCCCTTGAAGGCCTCTTTGCATCCCAATCTCCCCCTGATTCCCCATCCCCAGGTGGGCAGTGGGTAGACTCGATGCATTTACTTGGGTTTTAGCCAGAGCGAGCCACTCTGGGGGGTTCATCCCAGTTAGAAACTGGTCTGGGTGCTGGGGGCTGCACTGTCCTCGAGGGTTTGCTCCTCTCCCTTAGTATTTGTGCCTGTCTGGGGTCATTTGGAACCGCATGCGCTCGGAGTCAATTGGCAGTCGGTTGACTGAAGTTACAAAGCAAAAGGGATGGGGGGAGCCAATCATACAGACCTCCTCTCCCAGTGCTTTGGGATGTGTGTTACTGGCAGAGCCCAGCAGAACAGGAGCGAGGTGATGGAAAGCCAGGCCGAAAGGGCTTCATTCTCTCCCCTATCTAACAACCCAAGCAGCAGGGATCAGTTAGCTGCTGTCTGTGTGCTGCTGCCTTAAAAGAGCAGAGCACGACAGCAAAGTTTGGTGGTGGCAGAGTTTGTGCAGGTCCTTTCCTCCTCTTGGTTGCACGTTTTCAACACCACCTCCTAAGCAGCTCTCCCCTTTTGATAACCCCATGGCTCCAGCTGCTCGTTCCATGCTGTGTTTGCATGGCTGCTACCCAGGGGGGAAGCCTTTCACTCCTAAGAGCCCACAGAAGCACTCAGGACCACGCTCTGCAGATGGATGGGGTAGGAAGGGCCGCATCCTGAGCTGGCTGTGCCATGGCAAAGAGATCCCAGTTGCGTGGGAGCAAGGTCAGGGTTGGGATGGGTCAGACTGGGAGCCGTGGCTGAATGGGGAGGTCAGATTGGAGCCAGGCTGGTGGAAGTGGTGTAAATCAGTGCAGCTCTCTGGGGAGATGCGGTGCTGATGGCTCAGGGATGCTGGGGGCAGATCTGCGCTGCTGGGGCTCCATGGGCTCGGGCTCCTTTCCCTCTGTGGGGTTATTCCCTCCACTTCCTAAGCACAGGATCCCCCATCTGTCTCTGCAGAGCTTTCCCGTCTGCAGGCCTGCACGGAGACCCTCCCTCCTCCTCCTCCTCCTCCTCCTCCTCCCCCTGCTTCTCACACCATCGACTGCACCATGCGTCCTTTTGTCCGTTTCTAGATCCTCCCTCCCTCCTCTCCCCGTGCTCTCTCCTTGCCCATCTCCCTTTTGCTGCGTTAGGGGGGGGTCTCTCCTTCCCCTTTGCACCCCTCATTCTCCTCCTCCTCCCTCAGTGCAATCCCAGCATCCCTCTCCCTCCATCCCCATCCCCTTTCCTCCATCCCGCGTTTGCCCTCATTCATGTGGATGAGGCCACCGGTGCCTCCCATCTGGCCCCAGCCTGGAGCCCTCATCCTTTGTCACCGCTCCGCTCTCCCGACCTCCACGTTCCCTCCGTGGTCGCTCCCTATGGTGCAGGGCTCGGATCCCTCCTTGCTCTCGTTGTCCCGTGCCTCAGAGCAAACCCAAGCCCAACCTGAGGTCCTTTGCTCCCTGGAGGCACAATGTGGGGCTTGGAGGGATGCAGCAGATCCCTCCTCAGCCCCAGGGTGATGCTCGGGATGCATTTCCATAGGGATGTGAGCTGCTAACACACCCCCCCCACCACCTTCTTTCCATGCAACGCTCGGGTGAGATCTCTGGGGAAATGGTGGCATCTCGGTTAATCTGCCTAAGATGGAATCTCCAGCTTTGGAGCGAGCAGCACGGGAGTGGGGCAGGGAAACGTCTGCCATGGGGAGCTGACCCTGCCCTGGGGCTGCAGGTCCGGCTCTGATCCTGCCCTCCATGGGATGCTTTATCCCGTGCTTCATCCCACGCTTGTGTCGTGCTGAGCATCGTCAAGCGCCGCTCTTTGGGTTTCCCAAGCGCTAATGATGCTGTGCTGTGGATGCCCACGGTTCCACGTCAGCTCTTTAGGAACTTCCCTAAACAAAGCATTGCAAATATACTCCAGGGTGTGAAGCCAGTGGGGAGTAACACGTGAGCAGCATCGGACTTGGCAGGGGCTGGATTCGGGTTGGAGTTTGGGAATGTGCCCAGCTCCGGGTCAGATGCAACATCCCCATTCCCCGGGAATGAGATGGGCTCAGTGCAGCAGCATCGCGATGCTGAGCGGGGCAGGAAGAGACAGCGATTCCCATTCCACAAAGGGGTATTCCAAGGAGTGAAAACTCCCTCTGGGAACCCACACCAGCGCTTGTCCCACCCCAACACCAGGATCCTATGGCAGGCAGTGGGGTTTGGGAGCTCCGTGCTTGGAGCATGCCTTGTGCAGCTCTCACTATTGGTTGCGGCGTGCGCGGCGTTCCTGTCAGCCCGAGGGGCACGAGGCTCCGCTTGCATCCCTATGGATGTGGGATTCGGTCCTTGCTAATGGTATGTGGTGGGGAGAGCGTTCCGTGCCCGGCAACGCTCACTGAGCAGCTGGGAGAGATGGTGTTCATTAGGAGCTCTATAAATAATGATGCTCCCAGCCCATGAGCGGAGCAATCTCCATGCCTTGGTCGCAGAAGCATCCTTTGGGGGTCATGTGGCGTTCAAGGATGCTCGTGGTGTGTTGGGGAAGGCTGCCCGGTGTCGGAGCATCTCTGGTACCCACGGAGGAGCATCTCTGGTACCCACAGAGGAGCATCTCTGGTGCCCACAGAGGAGCATCTCTGGTACCCACGGAGGAGAGGAGCATCTCTGGTACCCACAGAGGAGCATCTCTGGTACCCACAGAGGAGCATCTCTGGTACCCACAGAGGAGATGCCTTTGGAAACAGGGGTCAGCAGGAGCCTGTCCAGAAGTGGTTCCTAGAGAGCTGTGCCACATCTGTAGGAACACAGATGATGGATGCTTGACGGCATCCTCGAGGAAGCTGGAGTCGCATGGCTGGCTCTAAACCCCTCTATAAAGGGGCTTTGGGAGCCAAAACACGCTGGCAAGTCTCTTGCCTTTTTTGGGAAAGCAGAAGGATGCTTGAGCTGGAAGTGGGGGGGAATCGGCTTGGTGGGCACCAGGGATCCATAAAAGTGACCTTGGGAAAGGCTCTGAGCCCCCACAGGCAGGGAAGAAGCCTTTGCCCATCACTCACAGGCAGAACACGGCCCCTTCACTGGTGTCCTGCTGCCCACCAGCTCGGGAGCCTGAATGGCCGCATCCCTGCTGCCTCCTGCCCCAAACCTGGGCTCCCCAATGGCTCACAGCAGCCTCACCCTAGAAGCACACCAGTCCCTAAGAAGGGCTCTGCTCTTTGGGCTATGGCAGACACCTCCTCCCTGGCGCGGGGTGGTGATGGGGGAACGGCTGCGTGGCGAGGGCATCCCTATCCTAACCTCCTGCCTTGTTCCCTCTCTCCTCCTCCAAGGCTGCAAGATCAAAGCCCTGCGGGCAAAGACCAACACCTACATCAAGACCCCCGTGCGGGGCGAGGAGCCGGTGTTCATGGTGACGGGGCGGCGGGAGGACGTGGCCATGGCCCGGCGCGAGATCATCTCCGCTGCCGAGCACTTCTCCATGATCCGAGCATCCCGCAACAAGGCCGGCACCACGTTCGGCAGCGCTCCCACCTTGCCGGGGCAGGTCACCATCCGCGTGCGCGTGCCCTACCGCGTGGTGGGCTTGGTGGTGGGACCCAAAGGGGCCACCATCAAGAGGATCCAGCAGCAAACCAACACCTACATCATCACGCCGAGCCGGGACCGGGACCCTGTGTTTGAGATCACCGGCGCACCGGGTAACGTGGAGCGCGCTCGGGAGGAGATCGAGACCCACATCGCGGTGAGGACGGGCAAGATCCTGGAGTACAACAATGAGAATGACTTCCTCTCCAGCAGCCCCGATTCCGGCATGGAGAACCGCTACTCGGAGGCCTGGCGGGTCCATACGCCGGCACCGGGCTGCAAGCCCTTGTCCACCTTCAGGCAGAACAGCCTGGGGTGCATCGGTGACTGCTCCGTGGACCCCGTCTATGAGACGCCGCGGCTCAATGACCAAAATGACTTCAATTACGGTTACCTCTTCCCCAACTATGGGGTGAACAAGCAAGATCTGTATTATGGGGTGCCGGAGTCGGGCGCCCCAATGTGGGCCGGGCAGGAGAACACCAACCCGGTGTCGGTGCTCTTCTCCAAGCAGCAGCGGTCCAGCAGTACCGGTGCCATCCATCCCAACTCCCACCGCTCCCCATCCTCCTCCATCCAAGAGCCCAATCTCTCCGCTCTCCCCAGGCGGTCGCAAGGGGAACCCCTGCAAGGGTTTTCCAAGCTGGGAACGACGAGCGCTGCCCGGACGTCCGTCTCCAGCAGCCGTGAGTGCATGGTGTGCTTCGAAAGCGAGGTGACGGCAGCGCTGGTGCCCTGCGGCCACAACCTCTTCTGCATGGAGTGTGCCGTGAGGATCTGTGAGAGGACTGATCCCGAGTGTCCCGTTTGCCACGCTGCAGCCACTCAGGCCATTAGGATATTTTCCTAAAGAGACAGAGCAGGGCATTGGGGTGGGTTTGGGGTTGGGGGGGGGGTCCAGGAGAGAAAAAAGATGATGCTAATAATAATAATAATAATGCTAATAATAATAATAATAATGACATCCGAAGAACAAACGAATGAGTGAAAGAATAAATTAATTTAAAGAGAAAGAAGAAAGAAGAAGAAGAAAAAAGAAAAAATTATTTTACAAGTTATTTTTTAAAGCAGAAAAAGTGAATAATAAAATGGAAATGAATAGCAAAAAAAAAAAGCCAGAAATTGGGAAGGGCAAACGATGCTCCAGCCTGCAGACGTCTTCTGGAGAGCAAGTCCTCGGGACGGGCGCACTCGGTTTAGTTCAGTTTCTTTATGGTGGTGAGATTGGGACTTCTCGGCGTGGACCAAGCCAGGCCATCGGGATCGGATGGGGAAGGGAGCAGGGATGCGGGCCCTGTGGGCTACTTCATCTTGGGTCTGAAGGCCCTGCTCTCCTCCTCCTCCCCAGGGATGTCTCAGCCCAACTGGGAGCTCGGCAAGGAACAACTGGGAAGAAAGGAAAACGGATGCCAGGGATTTGGAAGAGACAGCAAAGAAACCATCGACCTCTGGGAACCTGTTAGAACGAGGGCACAACTGTATTACCTCAAAGATTTAAACACAAAAAAACAAAACAGCTAAAGAACTTTTATTGTTTTCCTTTTTTTTCTACAAAAATGATAATAATACTTAAAAAAATATAAAAAAAAAAAAGAAAAAAACACACACACAAAAAAAGGGAGAAAATCCTTAAAAAGAAGATGAAGAAATGGAAGGTGCCGCCGGTGCAGGGGGTTCGGAAGAAGCCTCCTGGAACGGCACCGGGTGCGGAGCAGTTCTTTTGTTCTTCTGAGCCGCCGTGGAGTCTGGAACTTTGTTCTTTCCTTCCCTTCTCCGAGCAGGGATTTGTTCCTCACACGAATCAGGAGTCACTAACAGGGTATTTCAACCGCGGTCCTGCGTTCCCATCCGTGGCCGGAGTGGATCCACTTTCCACGGTGCCGGAGTTCCCTCTTCATCCCTTTCCTCCAAGTGATGCCAGCTGCAGCTACACACGTGCACAACACCCCTAACATTGGGCTTTTCTTTTCTTATCGCGTAGAGATTATCTATCACACCAAAACCTAAGAGAGACGATCATGCAATACAGGCAACGAGCCCCCCCCCCCCCCAAACCCAACGTGCATCCCACCAGGAAGCAAAAAAACCCAAGAACCACCCCAACTTTCTAAGAGAGGATTTTGTCGTCGTCGTTGTTTTTAAACTGGACCAAAACCTTTTGTTACCCAAAAAAACACAAGTGGGAGGGAGCTGGGGGGGGATAAACTAGGAGAAAGAAGTATTTCTTTATGGACCAAAACCTCGCCGCTGGCCTTTGCCTGGATCTTCCTGAGGTTGGCCGCTTTTATAGATTCTATTTTTTTCAGAAGGAAACACAAAAAAAAACCCACAAACCACCCCAAAAATTTGCCTTGTTGAACGTCCTTGAATCCTTTCAAGACTCCTGGTTTTGTTTGAATGAAATACTTTTGGAAAGCCTTGGGAAGCGGGGAGAGGATGGGCTTCGAGGCTGGCTTCGGTGCCGCAGGCACGCGAGCCCCAAGCCAGCACCTTCACGTCATCAGGTTTGTTCAGCCGGTGTCTGGATGCCAAAATGCTGTGATGGTAAAGATGTGTGTTGGGTTAAGCTATCGAGTACCGGTTATACCTATCTATAAGTGTATGTGTATATATATATATAGGCACTTAACTCATCAAGCACCTATATATATATATATGTGTATAGAATCATATATATATATAATTTGTCTCCCACCACCACCGTTTCTCCATTTCCTACCCCTCGCCTTCTGCTCACAGATCCCAAACCCTGGTTTTGAACTGAACCAACAAATATCCCAACTTGTTCTGCTTTTCCCCTTCAGTTACAGGAGACTTTGTGTTCATCGTAATGGCATTCCTGGGAACATCCCCTCTTCCGCTCAGTTCGCTGCCACTTGCTCCCGGTTGCTCCCTCCATCCCAGTGGACTGAGCTTGCCCCTTTTGGGGTGCTCTGTGTTCACTAAAGATCCGCTTTTGGTCTTTGGATAACGGGTGGAAGGGCATGGAATGATGCTCCTCCACCAGGGTGCATCAGCGGTTACCTAGGGGCAAGAGGTGGCTGGAGGGGTGGGTGATATTCCCAGGTTCCGGAGTGGATGCTGATGTTCTGGAGAAAGGAAAAGGCAAAGAGATGCTGTGCTAAAGGGGCACTGGCAGGTGGAACTGGTACTCGCTTCCTCCCCAGAGCTTTAACTGATCTCCAGACGTGTGGTTCTCCCGGCCCTGCATTGGGAGCGCAGGTCGGGATGGGAGAGCTTCCCGGGGGGAAGGCGCCGCGTTCTGGACCCGCCGTTGTGGGTACCATGGGGTGATGGAGGGCTGGGGGTGCTGGGCTCCCAAAGCCTCCCTGGCCCGGTGCTGTCCCAGGGCACAGAAGCCGTCTGTCCATCCATCCATTCATCCATCCATCCATCCATCCCTCTATGCATCCCTCCATCCATCCATCCCTCCATGCATCCATCCATCCCTCCATCCCTCCCTCCATCCATCCATCCATCCCTCCCACCCCTTGGCAAAGGCTTCCGAGCCCTGGCCACCTCTGGCCACATCCTTTCTAAAACTGGTCCTCCTTCAAAATCTGCCTTTGGTTTGGTCCCAGTCAAAGAAGGGGAAGGGAGAGGGGGCACATTCCTGTTCTCCGGGTGGAAACCTCTTCCCTCCCCACCACACCACCTCTTCCGTGTCCTGTGCCCCCATCCCAGGGTTGGATTTGAACCGTTCCTTGTGCAGGATTCTCCTGCTGATGCTGAGAGAGTGACTGGGGCAAGAGCTGGGGTTGGGAGGGCAAGGGATGGGTCCGGGTTGCGGGGGGGGGGGGGGTTCAACCACCCTTGGAAGGGGCGTTTGGAAGCGTTGGTGTTGGTGATGATGGAGGGGATTGAGCTGGGAATCGCATTGGGAATTGCTTCCCCCCCCTCACCCCGGGCCGATGTGTTAGTTGAGTGGCTATAGTCGTTCTTGGCTGAGTGAAGTCTGTTCGTGCTAATGATGTGAGCAAGTTTTAATCAATGTCTTTCTTTGATTGGCAGGTTATGAAGAGGTGGGGGGGGGGAATTGGGGTGGGGGGGGAAGGAGACACCCATGATGGGGACCTGGGGTTGGGGGGGGGACCTGTTCTAGCACTGACCCTAAGGAGTGGGAAGGGGAGGGAAGAGGGAGGCTGCTCCCGTTATCTCCTCCCTTACTAAGAAGCGAAAGCGATGTAAAAGCCTCCTGCATGCTGAAAAATGGTAGAGAAAATGAGGGAAAAAACCACAAAAAAAGAGGTCTTTTTAAGAAAACAAAAAAAAGGGGAAAAAAAAGGAAAAAAAAAAACACAAAAAAAGGAAAAAAACAAGCAAACAACAAAAAAAGGAATTCTGACCCAAACAAACGTCCATGCTTGATGGGAACCGGAGCGGGGTTATCCGTCCGTCGGTCCAGGCGGCACCGTGCCCCCTCTCTGCAAAGGTTCCTACTCGAGTCTCCAAGTTGGCCTTTAATAAAATCTTCAGTTCCAATAACCTTTATATATATATATATATATATACACATATATATATACATATACATATATATTAAAAGAAAGCTTGATGTAGCAGTTCTAGTTTAAAAACGAATAGGAAAGCGTTTCGGCCCCCGTTTCCTTTTTGAGTTCTCCCTTTCCCCATCCCGCACCTCATCCCGACTCCATAGTTTGATGTAGCAACTTGGGACGAAAGCAAAACCAGGCGCTGTAAAACGCACCGAGAGCTACCTCTGGCCTGAGAATGGGGCTGCCCCCCCCCGGAATGGGGCAGTGCAGGGTTGGGGGGGGGCCCTGCAGCCCCGGGTGCTGTTGCCATCCATCCATGAGGAGCCCGGTTGCGGGGCTGAAACAACAGAATTTGCATACCTATTTTTTGGGTTTTGTTTTTTGTTGGTTTTTTTTTCTCTCTCTTTTTAAATATATGTATATATATTACAAAAAAAAAGGCAAAAAAAAAAGGCAAAAAAAAAAAAGCTTAAAAAAGAAAAAATCAATAAAAACAAGAAAAATGCCCATGACCTTAACTATTTGCTCTGACTTGTATCTTCCTTGATAGGTGACTAAAACTGGCTTGTTGGTCCGATTCACCAGCAATAACTCAAGTTAACTAAAGACAGAGCCCTCCTCCCGGCACCCTGCCCTGCTCTGCACCAGGGTCCAAGCGGCATTCCCTGCTTCCCTCTTTCCTGCCACCCCACAGGGATGCTCCTTGCAATAGGAGCAGCACTATAAACCAGCTAGGCTCAACCTTGCTACCTTCACCTGCCCTCAGCATCCCTCCCATTTGGGATGCTGGTGTGGCAGCATCCCTGTGCCCAGGGAGGCAGAGGAACGCTGTCCAGGTCTTCCCAAGCCAACCCAACTCTTCCTCCCTTGGGTTTAGGAGCAGCAAAGCTCTTGCAGGGAGCCTGGTCCTCAAGACCCCCATCCTTAAGGCTTTGCTTTATGGCTAGTGAGGAGCCCACCAAAGCGGGGGGCTCCTGGCAGTGGTAAAGCAAAGCACGTGCAGGATGGGACCCTCACAATGCAAGTGGCTGCTGCTGGTTTCCCCTCGGGGGAGCAGGGAATGGAGTGCTTCCATCTAGTGGGAATGATGGAGCCAGTGCGGGGATGAGGACCTGAGTGGGACTTGGCACGCGCGGTGGGATGCTCTGCGCACTCATCCTGCGTCAGGTCCCCAAAACCCAGGGGGTGCTGAGCTGTTAGCAGGAGGCTTCCAGGTGCAGGCAGGATCAGACTCATCCAGGGGGATGGAGTGGGCCTAGGGAATGGGGCCGACTCGGTGCCGGATGCCACTGGGATGTGTGCATGCACCAAAAGCAAGGGGGGCTCCGGTGCTTTGCTCCATGGGGGACTCATCCTGCAGCCTTTT